ATGGAAGTGCGGACTTGCTTTTATGCCTCGATGGCATCATCGGAAGGTGCTGCGGACCCTTTGAGAAGCAGCTCACTGAAACCGACGTGAATTCAAAGCAATACAGGCTTTCGATCCCTAAAGAACACAAAGAGGCCTCTGTGTCGCTGTTATTGAAGGAAGATGAGGATATCGAACATGGGATTCCGGCGAAAGTTTATGATGGTGAGTGGAATGAGTACTCGATGATGTTGAAGCTTTGGTCGAATAAAATCCATGTCCTCAAGGATGGTTGGATGGATTTCTGCACTGATCATGGTTTCCTTAAGCATCAAGATTTCGTTACATTGCAGGCCTTTAGGCACCGTTGGACCGAAGGTCTCTGCTTTCAGATCACATCGAGAAGAACGGATGTGTTTGAACCGGTTAAGAAGATGAGAAAGCTTAAAGGCTGATCAGATATTACGAGTACGATTTGATATAACATAGTGAACCATATGATGCTGGAAATAATATGAGAAGAGACGATATAGGGGAAGACCCTTTCTAGAATCTCTGAATATCAATGAAGTTAATTGGTTTATTTTGATGTTGTTTTATGTTTTAATCATACATTCTTCAATTAGTGTTGTACCCTCTTGTTGAATTAATCTGCACTATGTTAATCTTTTAAAACTCCAAATTGTTAATTAAGCAGATCATAATTTCAAGCAGCCTTTGGCACTTACATTATGTTGTTGATTTTGTGTTTCTGGTGTTGACACTAGTTTTCGTCTTATGTTATTATATATTATTATACATATTAATATATAATTATTATTATATATTATTATTACAAATGGAGGCCCATTTACAAGAGGACGACCCGGTTACAAAGTAGGCTCACAGGCCCAACTAGTCTACAATCAGATTTGGCCCAACAACCTAGTCCAGGCCCAATTCCAACAAGCCCACGAGCGAACCCAACTCTACTAGGGTTTCTCTCCATCTTCTCCAACCGCCAACAGATCCCAGTCGTTCGATCTCAATGCAAATCAAGGGTCCAGATCGAGCCAATAACAACCCTAGAAACTCTAGGGTTATCATCTTACCGCCTCCACAGCTCCAATTCGGCGCTGCCACGCCTCCACCACCTCTCCAAAGCTATCTTGAAAGTTCCAGAAGATCAACAAGAACAGCACAACTCACTGCCTAGGGTGAGTCACCACCATAAATTCGATGACTCATCGGATCTTGTTATCATTACACCATATCTTCGAGGGCTATAAATAGCCTTGACCCTGCAAACAACGAAGACAACAACAGAGAGCAAGAAACACATAGACAACAAGAGAGGAACAACCACAAAAGCAAGGAAATAACACAAAGAGCAAACAGAAGGCTACCACAACGATCCACATCAATAACAAAAAGTAAAGAGAAGAGAGCGAGGAAACTTACCCTTTCCGAAGCCCAAACGTTGTCGAGAAAGCTATTTCACCGAAGATAAAATCCAAGATCTAGTCAGAGTGACTAGTTTTTAGTGAAAGAGAAGTGTGGATTCGAGTAAAGGGGCCTCGATCTACGTTTTAGGTAGGTTAGGTGTTTTTCGGCCACCGTGGGTGGTGGACGGCGATAGCGATTGACTGTAGTACATGGCGGTCGACCGGTGATCGACCTCCCTCAGGCAAAAGTTTTTAGAGAGATGCCTCGTTTAGTGAGAGAAGCAAAAGAGGAAAATGGGAGAGATGGTCCTTAAAGAACCGATTTTGGGCTATTTATACCGTCTCCCATACTGCGTCGTTTTGGGAGAGGGGCTTTCGTGTAATTTAGACAAGGTCAAACTATGTCCGTAGTGCCTCAAGCTTTGTATTCTTCCATTTTAGTCACTGAAACCAGGTTTTGAGCATTTCAATTTTAGTTTCGCATTTTAATTATTTTTATTTTGGTCACTGCTATATATATATATATGTTAAATCACATGTTTAGTACTTAAATATTAAAAATGTATATTTTAGTCTCGATTAATAATTTAGGGTAAATTATATAATTATCATATAATTTTGATATTATTTCGAATTAGGTTGATTAATTGTACTATTTATTTTTTTAATCACTATTTATTATTATAGGATTAATTATTATAGTGCTTTTGTATATTAGGTTAATTTTAAATTTAGTCTATAGAGTTTTAATATTAAATATTATAATAGTGTTAATAATATTTATATTAAATTTTTAGTATTTATATTAAATTAAAATTAAAAAAAATCATGATTTATTGCAAAGACATTAATTAATAAATACGGGTATCAATTTTGGGCTTTGTGGAGATGTTAATCCTTTCCCATACGTAACCGACTTCCGAACTCATTTTTCTGGTAAGCAGACCCAAGTTGTATTATTTTAATATTATTCTTAGGAATTTTATTAAAATAATATGACATTTTGGTGACCAATCTCACCAAATAAAATATTGGTGGTGACTTTATAATTTGGTGTTTCATCTGATTCATGGAGGATGAACACTTACTTTTTCGAGACTAGTTACACTGTTTGGGGTGTACTATTTGCACTCTCCGTCGCTGGACAGAGAAACGTCTCGACATCGGGTTTTAGCCATTTCTTTTTCTACAATTAAAGTTTGGTAAGAGTAATTTCACAACTCGGGCTAAGCCCGTTGGGCTGTGTCACAAGAGTATAATATAGAATTATCGTCTTTGAATGCTTGTCAGAGATTCGAACATGAACAAATGAGTGTCCTCTGCAGAAGGATCAATTGGTATTTGTTTACAGAGGACACTCTTTTGCATTTGAGGATGTGGAGGTGCAGACAAAACCTTAAAAAAACTTCTTTAATGATCTTTCCAATGCCTGCGTGCTGATGCAGAAGCTGCTTCAGTGAACTTGAATGCTAAGCGTAAGATGTTGTCGGTGCGGGGCCACTCGGTTATCGAAGACCGGCCTGAACACTGCTCTAATAAAACCTGGAAATGGTGTTAGCACTGGTCGGATCAAAATATTCGAAGGTGGTGATCATTTTGAACTCCATTAATGAAGACCGTGTGAATAGAAAGCAATGAACAAGGTGTAAAAAACCACCTTTGCATGAGAGGAATGGTGTAGGCCAATGTACTATTAGCTCCCCGCTAGAATAAATTTCTGGAGCAGTCGGCCAATGAATCCGTCTTCAATGTCCTTGTTCCTGTACCAAAGTGTATACTTAGCTATGCCCCAACTCTTCATTTTCCCTTGCAAGGTAACGTAGACTGCTTGAATTACACCCTCCACCCGAATCTAAACCGACTCGAGATTAGGAGCTCCACTCAACTCAAATTTTGAGATAAAAACATACACCCCACTCGTTATATATATTATTTTTATTAGGTGAAATAGGAGTAACTGAAAAAAATAGAAAGATATTATTGCAATTATCTTAAAATATATAAGAGATAATTATAATATTATCTCGAGTCATATTGAGTCAGATTTTTCACCTTAAACTCGACCACATCCTTCAAAAAACTCGAGTTGATGTGAACCCAAATTTTCAACAACAACAAAAAATGACCCTATACGTGCATTTGGTCATTTTGGTATTGCTGTTGAGGATGTAAGTTTGAACTTTGCTTCCCGAAATTGTTTTGCCTTTTCCCATTTTTAACGAAGATGATAGACTGTGCTGTAACAACCACTAGATTCTGGTATTCAAAGCTGAATGCTTATATTCTCTGCTGATCATTAGATTACCAAGACTGTGGAAATTATAAAGGCCAAGGGTGGAAAAGTAACCAGAGAACCTGGTCCAGTGAAAGGTGGTTCCACTGTAATTGCATTTGTTGAGGATCCTGATGGTTACAAGTTTGAACTGATCGAAAGGTGGCCTACTTCTGAACCTTTGTGCCAAGTAATGCTCCGTGTTGGTGATCTTGAGCGTTCCATAAACTTTTACAAGAAGGCGAGATTGCTGCAGAAGCAATGCACTTTTCTTTGGGCGTTTCTACATTTTAAGTCTTGTAATAGGTCTTAGTCTCTATCTTCTTTTGTTGCAGGCCTTTGGCATGGAGCTTCTTCGCACATGAGATAATCCAGAGTACAAGGTAATTAAGGGCTGCAATTAAGGATTTAAGTGTGTATATTGTGTATGTGTACTTATTGTCTTGATTAGTTTGATTGATGATAGTATTCATGTAACATTTAGTATGTCGGATATGCCACTGACCTACATTTATGATTTTCCATTTAGTATACGATAGCCATGATGGACTGCGGGCCTGAAGATAAAAATGCTGTGTACAACTATGGGGTGACTGAATATGTTGAAGGAAATGGCTATGCTCAGGTAGAAATATTTCTGGTTTCTTTTCACATATACGTCAAAAGGATTTTCATTTTTTGTTTGAAAATATTACTGCATGCAGTATGTTTTCTTGATTCTATACGGGAACGAAGTTAAAGCCACATTACTCTCATCTCTACAGATTGCAATAGGCACAGATGATGTTAGAGGGTGCTAAACTTTTTGGTGGACAAAGTATCCGGGAACCTGGACCATTACCTGGTATTAACACCAAGATCACATCATGCTTAGATCCTGATGGTTGGAAGACGGTATGCCTTTCGAAGCATTTATACATTGTTCAGTTCTTTATCGTTCGACAGTATCACTGCCGTCTATCGAAAGAAAGTATATCAAGAATGTTTGTGTGTGTGTATATATGTATATATATATATATATATATGACTAATTTCGCTCTTTAATTTTTCAGGTTTTTGTTGATAATATCGACTTTCTCAATGAATTGGAGTGAGTTTTGAACACATTCTCATATCATCCTCTTAACACTGAAATTCAAAAGCTCAAAGGATTTGTGGAAGAAATTTCCATTATAATTCCGTCAGTTTCAGTTTAGTTTTCTTCTATTTCTGTTTCAGCCAAATTCAACTCTCTTATAGTTAAAAATAATTATTATTATTTTATGGAAAATTTTGTTTTTTTTTTCTCCAACTATTTCACAAAACGGCTATAAAAATACAGCAGTATGTATGACACTTCCCTCTCCTTGTAGCCGCAAAAACCACCTGCCTCATATCTCGATTCTCATGCATGACACTCTTTCTTGTACTCTGACATTTCTGTGCTCTAATTCTCATGACAATCAAGGTGTGAACCACCTTCTACCGAATCAAGGGTACCGGCACCGAATAGAAGTTCAAGACTTGAAATAGGGTCTCCGATAATCGTCGTTGAAGCACCCAAGGTGATAAAGACTGCAGCATCGGTTCCATGCCTCAGAGCTAACTCTGGCCTCGTGAAGCCTGGAGATTTTGGAAGGTATTTTTGTATGTGTGTGGTTATGTATGAGCTGTTTTAACAAATACTTAATGCCCGCTTGTATTGAATTGAGCGGCTGAGTTTAGCCTTTGTATGCTGCAGAATTGTTTCAAGAAAACCCAAAGATGCATGGGCTGTTCGTCTTGCTATTGGCACCTATCTTTTAGATGGTAAGTACTCCAAAGCTTTGGAATTTGATGAATCTGAAGAATGATATTGTGAATTGATGATATACATTAGATTTTTAAAATAGTCTGATAGAACAAGTATAAATGTAATATTCATGATTTTTTCCGAATATATATCCATTATATTAATGAAACGATTACCTTTTATGGGAATCAATCAGATTCAATTTATACATTTTTTTATGTTTTGTGTTCGTAATCGTGTTTTGCTTAACTGGAAATTAGGTTCAATTCTGATAGAATTTAGATCAATTTTAACATGGCAAACTGATTTCAAAACAACACAAAAATAGGTATTAAATGCATATATATATATATATATATATATATATATATATATATATTCTTTTGAAGAAGAAAAAAACTTAAAAGGGGGAATAAATTACAATTAATAACTTTCATAGATTATTCACACGCACAATACTCCCAACATTTCCTTCTTTTATATTAATTACTAAGCTCGCTCTGCAGTGCCCAGTTTTCCCAACATTTTAAGACCAACTACAGGCATAAATTGCACCAGCTTTTGAGAAAGCATATTTAATAACAGGCGGTGTCAGTAACTCTACATACCTGAAGGAGCTTGAAGCAAATGCTACCGTCAACCGGTTTTGGTAGCACAGGATCTCGAGACCTGACTAGAACTTGTGTCAATAAACTGAGAAAGTATTCTTAAATTCAACAATTGGTGAAAGGGAAATGTTTTATCACCCCACCTGGTTCCAAACTTCAAACACAGACATGAAATTGCTCATAAAGTCCAATCTTAGCCACATCGAGCTCCTCAGATCTCTGGAATCCGAGTGGCCATAGTGAAAAGCAAATTTTAGTTTAGTTTATATCTTCTCTGACTATCCCGAACAGCTTCTATTCGGGTTTTACATAATAAGACAAACTTGGTAGTTACATATTGTTGGCATAGTACCCTGTCAACATTCCAGTCTATCGGAGGTGAAGTGTTTTTGTAATAGATTAACCAATTCCACCAAATCAAGTTGAAATCGAAGGTACTGCTCAACTGTAGATAGTAGCAGAACCAAGGACTAAGGGAAAGATATTACCATCACTAGTGTCATCAGTGTTCACCTGTCGGAATTTAGCAGCCTTTACTTGATCTGCCATGGTTAACATGTACATAAATATTTGTCTTAAGATCTTCAAATGCATCCCTGAATTATGATTCCGTAATCTTCCCTCGTGACGGCACTGTAGCCAGAAATGCATACTGCAAATTAGAATGTAGGAACTGAACAAAAACACAGATATTAAAGTAATGCACATTGACGGCACAGAACAGCTAATTTATTATCATCATTCTTATACGACAGCCTAGAGAGTATTCTGGTCTTCTCATGTTCAAACACAAAGATATTGAAGTTATGCGCACAAACAAAATAGACATCGGAAAGGCTTTTGAATGGGGGAAAGCCATAAATTCCACGACCTAAATGAGTCCCTCGGATGGAGCAGATAAAATCATAAATCATGCAAATAAAAGATACCCAATGTGCCAATCAGATGTCAAATTGAAATAAAAATATCCAGGGGGCAGCAATATATTCCATTAAACATAATTAAATTTACATGAAAGTGGACGGTTTCATCTCACATATCATAGTATTTCGAAACAAAAACTTCCGCCTTTTGTTTTCAATATTTGGAGTTGATAATTGAAATACAAATAGATCATATCATATAAATTTTCCCTACTTCCCCCACCACAGATAAAGAGTTTGCTGAGGTCATTTATGACATCTATGTACAGCACAGGAATCAAACACGGTTCAGTATCTGTTTTTCATAACAACCAATGTTCATGCGACAGAAACTTGAGATTCTAAACGAACAAAATACAAATCTTCATTTAGCAGCAGATTTGCAGGTCTCCAAAAAAGCGCACTAGATGTATCACAATAAAGCATAACATGAAATCACCACAATTCGCACACGCCTAGATGTATCACAAGAATCTCCTTGACCAGAATCATATCGAAAATATGTTTTGCATGTTTGGTCATGATGAAAGAATACCAGCATTAACTGCATTCGGATAGATGTCCAATTTAATTAAACTGATCTATTGGCTGATAAATTACCATTTTCATCATTTGGCAGAAGAAATGCGCTGCAATGATGAAATCAAACTACTTGAAGGTCCAATTTTGTTCCCCTGTCCACGGCTGGAATTAGCAGCTTCAGGGGGCAAAGTTGATTTCTGACCATTTCTTTTTGAAGTGCCAGCAGGTGAAAATGAAGACGAAGGAGTATGAGAGTGAAAAATCTGCCAAAATAAACATTAAAATTTAAACAACGCAAAGATGCTACAATGCAATACAATACAAAATTAAGAAGTAAGAAAAATATTTCCTAAATAGCACAAATCAACAACAAATATCTACACAAACAAGAGTTTGATTAAGAAGTAAAGAAGAGTAGGTAGCATAGATTTTCCATATATGAAAGGCCACACTTACATTTTTATCAAGAGAAGTATCAGAAATCAAGTTCTTTCCTGTTGCCGGTTTAAATTGCATGTGAACACCATGACCCAAAACATCGCTTGATCTATTGATGTCAGTTGAATAAGTAGCACTGATGCCTCCTGGCAGTTAAAGAATGGCCCACTCTTAATGTTATCTCCAAGCAAAACAAACATCATGAATAGCAGAATTTTTGAAATCATTCTAAAGATAATGATTTATACATAAGTGATTCATATTATCTATCAATTTCATAAATTATCAGATATGTGCTTTAACAGCATACAAATAATCATCCTAGTTGCCCATTATTAAACGTGCTGGGCATCTCGTGTCTACCTTAAGCCTCTTCTCCCCACAAAAAGCAAAACCATCAGGTATTGTTACCTAGCTTCAGTAACCAAAAACAGAAATAGTAACTATATAGAAGGGTGCCATTCTGTTCTTTAAATCATCTTTTTAACCAATGTGATATTACAGATATATAAAATTCAGTTCACAGAAAGAAAGACAAAAAAAATGTACTTTACGGATTAGACTAGGCACATTGACTTGTGAAATTAGAATACATCTAATTTAATGATAAAGTAGATGGTTAAGAGGAAAAACATTCTGAGAAAGAAAGGGAGAGATTTTGAAATTGTACGGGATTTTGTAAAGAAATTGCTATAATAACCACACTTAGGGAGAGTAAAATATTGGTGAACTATATAGTTAATTGTTATGTCCAAGGCTTAACTTATGCAAAGAAATTTTAGATCAACTTTTCAACATTTTTCCCAGAAGGGGAAATAAACCCATACCATTTAAAAAATTTCTTTACTGAAAAAGAAACAAATGCATACTGTTCACAGACCAAACAGACATGAAAAAAGAAAGTGACCACGAGATTAAAGTTCTTCTGACCATGATGATTTAACTTAGTTACTAAAGACATACTCCTCAAATTAGGACTTAGGAGGTCTCTGCTTTTGACTTATTACAGGTCTTCTAGGATTCTTTTGTCCAATAGATAAAGTCCTCAAAACATCATTCAGTCATTTGAGCACAAAGCACATCAGCAGGAGCTAACCTCGATGATTGTCCGCGCCAACTGGCAATGGCCGATTACTGCTACCTCCGCGAGTTGACTGTAATTGGGGGAAATATAATTTTGTTAGAAAGAAAATTCCATATAAAGGACATATAGCAAAACTAGTTAGGTTGGTTCTACAATTTAAAGCATTAGTTACTGGATAAATACATTTTAAACACAAAGACACAATTTTTGTTATAAGGAATAGAAGCAAGGTACTAACAGACAATTGAGGCTGAGATCTACTTTTCTGGGCCTGCTGGTACTTGATGATTGTCCAGTCAAATATGTAGTCAAAGTCATAACCTAACACCAAAAAGAACCAAAAATTACTTTGCAGCAAAGCATATACAGAAATTTTCATCTATACTCTTGTCATCATCATTTTCTAGTTCAACATCCTGATACTTAGACCAACAAGCCAAATGGCTTAGGTCTTTTAGCATATTTTACACAACAATGTCAAAGGTTGCGCATTGAAATAAGGAGTCCTTTGATGAAAATATAAGACATAAGAATATAGCATATGCCAACTGTAGAAATGTTATGACCACCAAGCAATACAAGCAGTTGACAATTTCAAGCAAGGGGATGGGAATGGGAATGCATGAAAGATAAAAACTGCATTTTACAGAAATAATAGGTAGAATGCATACAACACTACCTTCACGAGAAAATAAATCACGGAACAGGCGCTTCAAGAATCCATAATCAGGTCGTTGATCAAATGTCAAGGAATGGCAATAATGAAAGTAGGATGCAAACTCCACCGGGTGAGACTTACAAAGAACCTTGATAACAGGAGGAAACAGAAACCATGTTAACCAAATCATAATCGAACCACGAAATAGAACTCAAAGAAGAACCGATGCAAACACACCTCAATAGGCGTGGACACCTTCTTCTCACATATTTTATCATATTTCTGCTTCTTTGTGGCAGCTTTCAAACCTTGCCATGGAAGGCTATATCATGAAACATTTTGGTTGGTTTAATATAGAACAGCATATACCAATTCATAAAACCACTAAAAATAGATTATCTACCTTCCTCTAAGAAAATATAGAAGTACATAGCCAAGTGACTCCAAATCATCCCGCCGACTTTGCTCTGGAACAAAAAATATTATAAACCAATATGCAAGCAAATGAATAACTGCTTGATCCATCTTTGATGAATGACCAAAAAGGATTACCTATTCCAAGATGTGTGTTGCAACTTGCATAACGTGCAGTGCCCGTTAAATTCTTGTTTTCTCTGTGAGAAGAATTTTTTGTCATAACAGGAACTTAATACTGAACTATTACATAACTACACTGAATATATTTAGCAATTCAAAGAAACACAAAGGTAAGAAATAACAAAGTACACTAGAAAACTATACCTATAGGGAATGTGGCGATTAGTTACAGAGTCTCGATATCTTTTTGCAAGCCCAAAATCAATTATGTAAACCTGATTTGCTTTGCGACCAAGTCCCATGAGGAAGTTATCAGGCTTTATATCTCTATGAAGAAATCCCTTCGAGTGAACATATTCAATTCTTGTAATCTAAAAGCATCCAACAATTAAAATGCAAAAGTAAGTAACAATTTATACAACCAATCCAAAATAAAATCAAAATGGAAATGCCACAATTTTTAGTTCACCATTTGATCAGCCAATATTAAGACGGTTTTCAGCGAAAATTTCCTGCCGCAGTACACGAAAAGATCTTCCAGACTCGGTCCAAGCAAATCGAGAACAAGTACATTTTCTTCCCCGTCAACACCTGACCATTTTATGCTTGGAATTCCACCTAGGAAAAAATCAAAATCATCAAAAACAACTCATCAATTCACAATTCTTAAAAGCTTCAAAAATCAAATAAACAAATTTATTCCAAGTAGTAGCAAGGCATACTTCCTCCTTGTAGAATATTGTACAGTTTGGCTTCGTAAAGCAGCTGCGGATGCTTTGTTCTCCTGTTCTCCTGTAACAGTCAAAATTAAAACAATTTACATAATTTTAAATTTTAAAATTCAAGCAATTTTCAACTCAATCTCACATTTCTAGACTAAGAACCATAAACGTCAACCAGATCATGATTCATGAATCTAAAAACACAAATTAAGAAACACTTACGATCTTAATAGCGACGATCTCAAACGTATCGATGTGCGTAGCTGCCAAAAAAATCATAAAAAAATCACTTCAGCATATACGTAAACACAACAACAACAGCAAAAGTAAAAAAATAAGATGATTAGACGAACCGAGATAAATTTCACCGAAGGATCCACTACCGATCTTACGGCCGAGCTTGAATTTACCACCGATGATTCTGTCCATGCTTGAATTTGACCGACGACTCCAATCGATCAGATTCAGATCATTAAAGCCAGAGCAGGAGCTTGGAAGGGTTTTTGATAGACTTTTTAGCTTTGTTTTTCCTTGTAAAAAAAACGGAACCACAAACAGGAGAAACCTCGCAACAAACGACAGAAAGGAACTGCGTGGATTTTGAGAATGATGAATAACGGATAAACAAAAATTAAACAAATATTTGGAGGGTAGTTTGGGGATTTATGGTATGTGAGAAAGAAGATCATTGGCCTGTTGAGTAAAAACCTGGGTTTCTCGTGAGGTAACTAGTCAATATCCTCTTGATTATAGTATACATTTTAGTTTCATTTCTATTTTTTAATAATTATAAAATAGATTATTATAATTTGATTTTAAAAAAAATTGAAGGGGTTTAAGTTAGATTTACTTAGTTTAAAGTATTCTTCGGTGAAAAGAATATTGAATTTGTGTTTATGAGGTTAAAAAAATTGAATTAGAAATTTTGAGGTCCAACGCTCGTCAAGGATGGCGACTGATAGTAAACAAAAATGAGGGTGGTCAGTAACGGTCGATGACAGAAGACTATGATTAAATTCAATATTAAATTAATAATTTATCTAAATTTTAAGAGTCAAAACAATACAACAACAACAACAACAAAATCATATTCTCATACGCAATGGGATAAGGGGATGTAGGGTAGTAAGCTGCCCCCAACATATAGTTGAGAGCAGCTTCTGTGGAAGACCTCCGGCAGTCAAAAAATTTAAAATAAAGATAAAATGCAATGCATGTATAAATAAATAAATACATAATTGAACAGTCTTCATATGCAGTCTTTATATGCGCGTTTGTAATGGGAATTAATCCCTGCAAATAAATCTCTGCATGTAGACAGAAACGTAAGACAAACCCGGCTAAATTTAAAAAGAGGAAACATGAAGAGAAGGATACACAGAAGTCAACGATGGCAAACTACGAGAATGAATAATGTCAAATGAGATAAAACCTAAACTAAGACAACACTACTCAGCTACCCTAGTTATAAGCCTTCATAAATTCCCATGACATAAACGTATAAAAAGTATAAGTCATGGAAATTACTACAAAGGCATTAAAAGAAGACATAGAAGATACACCCTATGGATGTGACCCGCACTACTCGGATATCATGGTCTTAAGTCTCCATAATTTCCTATCAGAGGTCATGTCCTCAGTAAGGGCTAAATCCTTCAAATCAGATCTCAAACAGTCTTCCCACTTCCGCCTTGGTCGTCCTCTCCTTTTGGCACCGTCAATTGTAATTGACTCTACCCTCCTGACTGCATCCGACGGTTGTCTCCTAAGGATATACCCAAACCACCGTAGTCTTCCCTCCCTCAATTTTTCGGATACATGCATCATCCCCAAGGACATACTAATAACAGAGCTTGGTGTCATGTCCCACAGAGTCCTACCACATGCCCATCGAAGCATTCTTATTTCTGCGACCTCCATCCTCCTTACGTGATCCTTCTTGATTGCCCAACATTCTGATTTATACAGCAACGCTGGTCTTATTATTATTCTATCTAAAGTTTAAGAATCTAATTAAAAAATAATCTTTTTTATTAATGTACTGTGTTATCAAAATAACATAAGCTAACTCTTAAGTGATCAAAATATAACAACTAATATATAAGTTACCAAAATTTAATAAATTATTCATTTTCTTGCTCATCTGGATGGCACTAGTCGATTACCGTTATATTTTACTTATGATAGACATAAATGTATTTGTCCTATATGCATGAAGCAAAACGTTGTTGATGATGTTTTTTTCGACCAATAAATATATTATAGTTCTACTTCAAAATAAATAAATAAATTGTTAATATGATTGATTAAAACGTATCTTTTTAAATTTGAGGAGCAAAAATATATAAATATAAAAAGAAAGTAACAGATCCAATAATTTACCCTAAAATAAAACAAATAAAAGGGCGGGATTGGTTAGGTAGGTAATTTAGGGTTTTGTGGCGCTTTGCTTTATTGGAGTCGGATATGTATGAGATTTGATCTGTTTACCAATTATTTTGTGGACTAGTTAGGGAAAAAATAATGTTTGGGGGACCATCAACGTCAATTCAAAACGAGCGACACAGGCAGCCGTGCACCACCAAAATTCCTCTTATAATAAGGATCCTTTGAATTTTTCACAAATTCCAGTGTGGATTGTATAATTTCTCATAGTAAAATAATCCAAATTAGGATTTATTTTAGGGCAAACTACTTATTTGATATCCTACCTATTTATTTTTTTTATTTTAGTCACCTAACATTTCTTCAAAATCTTAATGTTATGTTTTGTTTCTCTTTTGGTACATGATGTTAAGTTTGATTGTTGATTTAATAGAAATAATGATGTGACGTAGTATAATAACAATTTTAGTCACAAAACTTATATATTCTATCAAAATGGTCATAATTCGAAATAATCTAATAATTCCTCAATATTTAAAATTGATATTAAATTAATAATATAAAAATAATAAATTATCAAATTAATAATAAAATTTTAAATTATTTTAAATTAAAATGAAGACCAAATTGATAAAAAAATTTAAATATTAAGAATTTGTTAGTTATTTTGAAATAGGATCATTTTGATTCAATGTGTAAGTTTTAAGGATTAAAACAATTGCTGCATGTGTTTTTTTAATATAATATTTGGACATTCTTTTACATTTTGATCATTTTCATCAATAATGCATCTCTTTAAGAGTGCCTTAACAAAGACAAATCCAACAAAACATGTCCTTAACTTAATTTAAAAATTATTTCTTTAAATAAAATTTTAAATACTATTTTCATAATTAAGTTTTAAATAAATATTATTTCCATAAAAATACCCAACTTGTTATGACTAATAAAAAGTGAAAATAGTCACACGATTAACATGGTTTCTACAATGGAATAGACAACGAGTAATGTTCCAATCAACACCCTAAACTTTCATCTGTTTTCATATAGCTATAGAAAACACACTATGCTTTTGAATGATTTGATACGAGGAAAGTTTAGAGTGACAAGTTTCTTAGCTGGAATTGAAGTGAACATGGAGGTTTCATTTCCAATAGTAGTAAAGCATTACGGTTTAGTTGGACAAAATGGCAGTGTAAATGATGTAGAAAAAAATTCTCAAAATAATCTACTCGGGGATTATTTTTGCATTTAGGGTGATTTGTACAGTACCAATCTAAAGACGTCAGGTGCTCCATGCGTCTTCAAATTAAATATGAAGACTCCACGATTGTATGACGTCTTCATGCAAATGAAAATACCTCACGACTGTATGACGTATTCAGGTAAATGAATAATACCCCACGACTGCATGACGTCTTCAAACAAATGGAGAAGACTCTAAGAGTGTATAGAGTCTTCATACCAATAAAAAATCTTAGTTTAAAAAATAATATGATAGATGTGTTATATGAGAATATTATTTTTTTTCAACAATCTTATATATTCGAGGAAGCCGGTTTAGTTGGTAGCCTACCCATTGTCCTTCAAAATATATATTGAGTTACGCGTACATACCAAACGACACCGCTGGCTTCCCATTGCCTACCTACCAAACAATACAACGCCTTATCTGTGTACATTCTTATTTTTAGAGATGGAAAAAAATTATAAAAATAGAAATAAAAAAATCGTATACGATAGAATTTTAATTTAATAGGATCAGTTTTTATATAAATTTTGAATTTTGAAATATATGAATTTTCTATTAGAGAATTGAGTTTCTTATTAAACTCATTCAATTAGCCTAACTTTAATCAATTAAAATATAAGTTATAGTTTGGGGACCTGCGATGGAATTCATCCCAAAAATAACGACACGATTTTAATGCACGGTAAATATATATAACGAATCGCACAATTTTTACCTTCTCGTGGACTAATGATCGGAGACGTGGAGAAAATGTTAGCGGTGGGCCTGATCTGGGGCGCCACCAACGCCGCCATGCGCCGCGGCGCACTCCTCTGGGACCAATATCTCAAGTCCACTCCAGCCTCAGGCGTCCCACCTCGCAAACTCGACCAAAGGATCCTCAAATCCTTATCCGATTGGCTAACCCTGCTTTTGTTTTGGCAATATTCGATCCCTTTCTTAATCAACCTCTCCGCGTCCGCCACCTTCTTCTCCATATTAAGCCAGGCTCCGATTTCGCTCGCCGTCCCCGTCACCAACGCCACGACGTTTGCTGCTACCGCCGTTTTCGGAATCCTGCTGGGCGAGCGGACCCGGATCGGTCTTGCTCTGTTGGGTACAGGTTTTATTGTTTTGGGTGTTTGGCTTTGTATCACGTGATATGCATGTGCTTTTCCTTTAGCTGCCGTGTGTTCTGTTAACTGTTATGTTACCGTATTTTGTTTGAAGAACAATTTAAAGCTCAAATTTTGATTCATTTGCGTATAATTTTGCTTTCATGTAGAAAAATCCTGTTGAGAATAGTGTTATTCAATATATTTGTATCAAAACTTATTGATGAAATAGGAGGAAGAAAATGCCATACAATTGAAACACAATGAACCATACAAAATTCAAAATCATAGGGAAAAAGGCAAACACATTTTTGGGATGTGACAACATTATTCTTGGGTTTATGTAGTAAGAAAAGAAATGGAATTCAAGAAACTTTCAATCTTAGAACTTAGAACTGCTGTTTGAAACATTCTGGAGGAGTTTGTCCTTTGAATCTTTTAGTATCTTTGCAGTAGTCATAGATCATGAAGTTTTGCCTGACCCAGTTCATTTGACCAATCTGGGTACTGCTCAACTGGCTGAAACGAGGGGAAGTCCACCAGTTAGCTGGGGTTTTGATGGCACATTGATTGATACTCACTGGCCCATCCCACTTGCATGCTCTTGCCCTGAACCTGCGGAATCGGGCAATGAAAGGTGCGCTGTTCCAGTCAATCTTCTCAAGACCTCCTCTCGTTGCCCAATTGTCCGCATTCCATAAACTGGCGTGTACCCTCATACCTTGCTTGTTGGGAAAGGCAATGCCTTCCTTCTCGTAGTTTCTGAAAACACGGATTGGCAGGTTGTCGATGTACCACCTGAGACGATTTAAGTATTTTTTGGTTAGTTTCATTACACATTTTGACCGTCTTTGAAATTCACTGAGATTAGGAATATAAGAAAAATGGTCTGCGTTTGCTCTCTGCTTGAGCTAGATTTCTAATGGATATATTTGGAGAAAAGGCACATGATTTTCTTGAATAACTGAAGGGGAGATAACTTACACAACTTCAGTGGGATTCCAGTGTATGGTGTAGTTGTGGAAATCGGCAGTCGGGTCAAACCACAGGTAGAATTGTTGTTCTCTGCTTCCGTTTCCTTGAGTAAAGATGTTTGTGTGAACAATATATGGTTGTCCAGAAACGTTACCTAAGAACTCGAAGTCGATCTCGTCATGCTTGTCTCCAGTGGAGGTTACCTGCATATATTTCGGGATGAAAGATTACAATGTTATGTTCTTCATTATTTAAACTTCTTCTGTTCTTTCTAGTTCCTATGGGGTGTTCTAATGAACTCTAGCTAAGGTTTAATTTGATCTACATTTGTCATTAACACAAACAATTTACTGCAAGATATTTAGTTGCAATTAAGTTGCTGTCACTTGTATTTTCAGTATCAACTTTTCATCTTGTTGAATGTGGTTTGTCCGGAAATTCGTTTTTGACTTGTGCTTACAGGACGAAAGATGACTCTAGGAGCTTTGCTGAAAGCAATTGAAGGTGATGTTTACAATGCATTTTATTCGTGATAGAAATATTAGCTTTACACGCTGTTACACTTACATAGTAGGCCGTCACTGTTCCGGCTGAGTTTCCAGGTACCAACTTGATTAGCATTTCAATGCTTCCAAATAAGAATGCCCTCTTTGATTTGACAGCAGAACCTGAAAAAAAAATGGAATATGTTACAGTTTGGTATTGTCTATTTGCTTTAGCGTCACTCATCGATAATTGGTTTACCTGAAGTTTGATCCAGCACAAGTTGAAGGTCTTCACCATTGCCTGCAAAACTCGAATGATGAGCACCCCAGTTTATGTACATGCTCTTCGGGAAATTTGCTTCAACAAAACTTTGATCGACTACAAATGAAGTGATGAAAAGAGCCAACAACAAAGCTTGTAAAGTAGCCATTTTAGATTGTATCAGAGAACCTGGCTCGGGTGGTATTCGTTAGCCAATTAATGCCGTCGAAAGGGGATGCTTTCCTCCATTGTTCTCGATGGCTTTATATAAAGCTAGATCAGCAAATCTGCCTGGCTCAGATTGAACATTGTCTTTTTAGTTTTTTAATTAAAACTTGAAATATGTTGAACTTGTCATGGTAGAAAACCCTCCCATGAAATTATTTGAGATAATTTCTTGTAAACTATGAATATAGATAAAATTATACGTCAACTTAGTTGAATATTATAACTCGATCGATATTATCATCATTATAATATATTTACATGTAAGTTCGAGTGTACTTAAACAAGCAATATCTTATCAGATATGGATGGGAGGTGTTTTAACCTTTGCAATACTTTTATACCCTTAACATGCGTTTTTTTTACTGTAAACTACCTTTTTTTACTAATCATTGGTATTTGATCTATCGATCGACTAATCTAGATCGGGTACTGCAGAGGCAAGGGCGACCCTCCCAACCCAGTTTGCTCTATTCGCAAATGCTAGAGTTTAAACCCATGAACTTGCTTAAGAATCTAATGCCTCATCTCAATTGATCAGTTGGTTGTTGGTTGTAAACTACCTATTTAATCATTCATTTATTCTTTTATGTCGTTCATAGTTGGAAGAACAAAAATAGGTAATTTACCCTTTTCTTAATAAGTGAAAATAAGAAATTAAAAATTATCGTGAAATTAAGTTAGGTTAAGACTTAAGAGTTGAGCTTAGATGGTACGCGGAGAGGAAGAGAAATGAAATGTCGTGCATGAGACTAATACTGATAGTGTTATAGCTACCAGCTGGTTCTTTTGTCCAACTATAGAAACCAAATCAGCACCACATTTAGACGTGCATGCTTATTCGACAACCTCAAATGATGTCATTCCAACTTTCATTTTGCTGTTGGGAAGACAAAGCATATATATATATATATATATTCATAATAATACCTGTAAATATTTTTAGGCGTGAAAGGCTAGCTACGGGACGGAAGCATGTGAGTTCTTCTTCACGGGCTATTATAATCTGTAAATATTTTTATAATCTTATTTTATGAATTTGGATATTATAAAATAATTAAAGAAAACTTAAAGCTAACATTGTTAACAGAATTATTTTCATTGCTTCAATGTCAAAAGAATAATAATAATAATATAGAATGGAAAAAATATTTAAAATTGAATCACGATGCCCATAACAGGGAAGAAGAATGTGTTGACAAAAAACGAATAAAATACAATTAGAGGCGAACTTGCAGCTCAGTGTTGAGACATTGAATCTACCGGAGCTGGAAATGAGAAGGCTTTACTCGTTCACTTGAACCCACATGACACGGCGGCAAGGCGTCCCATTATAAATGACGAACAACATGTAATAACCCGGCGGAGCAATGTTGCTGTTGGGTGGTGCTTGAAAAGCGATGATGGAGGCGTCTGGTGCGGCGGGGTATTTTCTTACCTCGTAAATTCCCAGTCTAATCAGCCTTTGATTCATCGAGATACCGTGTGTCGTGAATGGCAGATAGTAGATATTCACTTGAAGCTTCTGCATGTCAATGTTCGGATCGCCGCCACGGACTTGCACCTCGAACCGCTGTCCATAAATGAGCTTGTTGGCGGACTTGTCCAATAAAATATCGGTTCTGAAAGGGTCCAACGCTGGATCGAAGTAATGCGGGGAGAATTTTTCGACACGGGTCTCGGTGGGGAAGAGTGCAATATCCACGTATCCGGGGTTCGTGTTGCTGCCGGCGACGAGGATTTTCCGTCGGGGAGAAACGCTGACGTCGAGTGATTCATACGTGGAATGTTCGAAGGGGTAAGCTCCACAAACTTGGTACCGGTACCGCTTCCGACCACAACACGGTACAGAACGGGGTCTGATTCGGGTCCCTGGCATCATCCCACCCGGCGGAGCCACTCTTGGCGCCGTTGATGAGAAGGACATATCCCGTCTGTAGAAAAAGTGCGTCGCCGAAAATACGAGCCGACGGCATGGTCTGGATCTTCCATCTAGCTTTGCTCCTTTTAGTGATATCTAACCGAGCACAGTCCTTGCTCGCCGGTTGAAACACTTTGGGTCGATTCAAATCCGCCAACGTAAACGCTTCGTGCGAGGCGCCACCGCATACCATCCCTTCGGCCGGGATGATGCGACGTTTCTCGTTGGGTTGAAGTGTGATCGGAAGCATACAAGAACATCCCGACGCCGGATAGTTATGAGAACCGCCGGGGAGGACGGGGAACTCATGGACGACTTTGTTAGTGTTCATATCGAGGAGGATCTAACGGATGTTTGCAAAGACGAAGAGCGTTCCGTCGGTGTTGAGATAGATAAAAGGGTGCAAATTGTTCTCTACAGGATCGTGGGTTTCGTTGAGAAAATTGAAATCGACGACTTGGACTAGAGTGTTGCGTTGGCCTTCTGCCGGAACGAATTCGTACGTAGGAAAATCACGACCGCCGAACACTGTTAGCATGATGTATAAGCATCATGCACGTGCTGCTGCTCGTACTACTATAGCTTACATGGTATGTTAGTTGAGTAGTTAGCAGAGGTTGTTAGTCAGTCAGTTTAGGTTGTTAAAGTCAGTAAATGAGTCTGTTAAGCATAAGCTAGCATCTTGAAGTTGTATATAAACAACAACATCATTGTACATCACTTAGATTGATTGAGTATGAAATACAAAGTACAGTTTCTTCAATTCTATTGGATTCCTAATATGGTATCATTTGCCAAACGGTCCTGACTTCATTTATTCTTTTGCTGCGTGGAAAAGGGTGAGAAAGTCGTCAACGTCGCCCGTCGAGCCGGCTCCGAGATCGAATCCGTCAAGAAATCGAATGCTGAAGTTTTGCAAAATGGTAGCACAGAGATCACACACATTCTATCTGTTCTGAGCTCTGCATCAATATTGTTTTTCTCTTAATGGCGTAGCGGTTTCACAATCCCTACCAAGGAAATTAAAAAGGTATACATAGGTGGGTCTCGTGATGCTGCAGCTCCCGCGAATCATTCACATGATGATTCTAAGAGTTCTTTGGCACCCCAGAAGTTGTTGTACTTGTTGGAATATGCAGGGAAGGATTTGAAATTGGTGAGAATGGCAGTGCCAATTAGAGATATGGAGAGCGAGAATTTGTTGGATTACCTAGACCCAAGTCTTGGTTTCATTGGTCAAAGCAGAAAAGAGGGATCTATTTTGGTGCAGTGCTTTGCTGGAGTGTCAAGAAGTGTGGCTATAATTATGGCATATTTGATGAGAACCCAACAACTATCTCAAGAAGGTGCCCTTGAATCTCTAAAGCTAAGTTGTGAGTTTGTGCGCCCTAATGATGGGTTTTTAGAGCAGTTGAAAATGTTTGAAGAAATGGGTACACTAGAGACCAATGATGTTGTTTCTTCATAGCAGAGATTCCGTTTATGGGTACACTCGAGACCAATGATGTTGTTTCTGCATAGTAGTATAATTCTTTTGTGTGTAACAGAAGTTTAATTTTGTTGCTTATATCTCAAAGTTTCATGGGACTTGAAAGCTTCACAGCCAAGAGTCCATAAAAAAATGTCATGGAACCTTGTAAAAGAGGGTGAAGAAGAAAGAAATGAAGGTGAATAAGAAGAACGAAAGGAAACATAAGCACTTTCGATTCAAAGTGGACGGAAGGAAGCATCGACACTTTTGATTCAAGTGAACGGAAGGAAGCGTCAGCACTTTCGATTCAATTGTTCATCTTTTCAATTGTTTAGGGCCAAGATGTAGAAGAGAAGAAGAAGAAGAAGAAGTAGAGGGAATGTTAGCATGATGTATAAGCATCATGCACGTGTTGCTGCTCGTACTACTATAGCTTACATGGTATGTTAGTTGAGTAGTTAACAGAGGTTGTTAGTCAGTCAATTTAGGTTGTTAAAGTTAGTTAAGGAGTCTGTTAAGCATAAGCTAGCATCTTGAAGTTGTATATAAAAAACAACATCATTGTACATCACTCAGATTGATTGAGTATGAAATACAAAGTATAGTTTCTTCATTTCTATTGGATTCCTAATAAACACCATGAATCTACTGTCGCTAAGGTTACTTTGTGTGGCATACCATCTTCCGTTTCCAAGTGCTCTGGGATACTCTTTCCATTCCAAGTCTCGAGAATTCTGACGGTGTCGGAACCGTTGTGATAACCTCCGGTGCTCACTAACCGTCCATTAATCTCAAATGTTTTTTTAAAATATGAACACGAAGGGCGCCAGATGAACACCAAGTATCATAGATCAACTGTAAAACAAAATCCACAGTGCATAAATATGAACCCAATATCAAAATTAATCTCGAATGTTTTTTTAAAATTATATTTTTATTTTATTTTTTAAAATATTTTAATTTCAACATTTTAATTTTAAATTAAAATAGTTTATATTAAATAAAAGTTATTAGTAGACTATAGCTCAACATATATTATTAATATGACGTTTTCATATGTATTTAATTATTGTCATAATATATGTTACATCATCTAAGATAATAATGTACATGTATCATATTATATAAGGTAACGACGTGACACATAATTTCACTCAAGGTGATTATGTGACACATACCACATCATTTAAAATAATGATATAACATGTATCATAATACAATTAAATGCATATGAAAATATCACATCAATTATATATCAACTATTAGTCAACTATCCATTTTTATTAATAATGATTATTTTGATAAAAATTAAAATATTTGAAATTAAAATCTTTCAAAAAGAAAATATAGAAATTAAAACGATTATTCTAACAATGTTAAAAAATTAATTTAGACCGTGATATTTTCTTTTCCTGGTTTAGTTTTGGAAGATTGAGGTTGGGGATTACGCTTCCGTTTCTCAACGATCATCCAAGGACCGAAGGGATCAGTCGGAGCTAGGTTTTCAGTCGGAGTTGGATCAGACGACGGTGGTTGAGCATCGGAGTCAATTGGTGCTTCAGCGGGGGGTTGATCTTTAGGACAGTTTGTCAGGAGATGTCCATAGAAACCACAGTTGAAACAGACTGTAGGAAGAGATTCGTATTCGATAATCTACATTCTACCATTGATGATGAGTTTAGAGACCAGAGGCTTGCACAGGTTGATATTGATCGCCATACGAGTGAATTTTCCACGATAGTCGTTATCGGTTTGATAGTCAATCTTGACGACTGAACCGATTTGGTTCCCAATGGCTTCAATAAAGCTTCTTTTGTAAAGTGTGACACAGGAAGCTCCGGTAAACGGATCCAAGCCATGAGGCGTTGAGGATGAGACTGCGAGGGTTGAAAATCAATTGACCAAGGTTCAAAGGTCAAGTAATGTCCAAAGATTTGCCAAGGTCCTTCCGTGAGAACTTTGCCAAAAAGAAGTCATTTTCTATATCCATCAGTTTAATGGGGTGAGAAGGCTTCCAAAGATTGTATATACGGTTTTGAAGAGTGTTATATCCTATTCGCCAACCAAGGATTTTGATCACGAGCGCCAGATCCATGCTTTTGATCGCCAAAGATTGGACACGTTCAGAAAAATCAATGGTGGAAATACCATTTGAACAGCCAATGGCTATATCGTCTTCAAGAATATCAATATCATCATCATCTAGATCTACTTCTTTGTCAACTGAATGGTCGTTAGGATTGCCTGTGAGCATGTCTCGATAGAAGATGGTTGGCCGAGAGTTTGGGGAACGAGAATCGCAATCAATCTGAGAAGGGGCGTCAGAGTGGGGAAGGACAGAGGAGTCAGGGGGTTCTCATCCCGCAAACGTTGTTTTTTTGGGAGTCTTGGATCAGAGGGTTCTTTCATTTTTCAGAGGATTCGAAATAAGCTTTTTGACCCAGAGTTTCGAAACATGCAAAAACATAAGACAAATAAAATATCACTTTGTCGTCACATTAAAATATTAAAAAAATATTAATTTGAACTGGTTTTCACTTATTTGTTTAAGTATTTAAATATAGATTAATTTCGTCAAATGGAACAAAATCACAAAGACAAATAAAATCCACTCATCAAATATTTAACTCTATTATATTCCTAAAAACTTGAATCTAATACATATTTAATAAACCTGACGGAACATATTTAAATATAATTAATATAATAAAATCATATTTAAAACTTATATATATATTAAATGATTCATATTATAAAAAGTTAAAACACGAAATATATACTTATATTATTGATAATATTCTAATATCGACCGACTCTATGATCTTTCCTTGTTTGAAAAAACTTTGAGATACATTATATAATGTACGATATGTAGTTGCAGTATTACGAAAGGTATGAGGTCATGAGTCCTACGAAATGCAAATATAACGCAAAATTTGTTGGAAAATAATTCTGCTCATGCCTTTACATTCTTAGTTTATTATTGATGAATGAGTGAATGGAGAATTTGGTTTCTGTTGCAGCTGCCTAACCCTAAAAACTTGTTTTTTAAGGTACAAAAGAAAAAGTCTATTTTAGCTAGCTACCTTGCTTGCATGCATGCATGTGGCCAATTACCAATAATATATATATACATATAATATAATACCTTTTATGAGATCATCTTCGACTTCTGCAGCTCTTTGCTGCGTCCTAGTTTATTCTATAAAGGAGAACAAAATATTTATACTAGGAGGTGTGAATTTTTAAAATAAGAAAATATTATGAAATTCTAAGAATATAAAATTATATCGTCAATAGAAAATATAAAATTCTTTAAATTATATAAAAATTTAAAAAATTTAGGAGATATCAACACCTCGTAGCACCCCTCGATCTGTCCATATTCTTCTATTTATATGGATGATAATCTTTTTGGTAAAGTACACAAATGATCTTCTATTATATGATGTTGTTTTATTGAGTCCTCCGATTATTAAAAGTTACAAAATGGTCACTCGGCTATTGATATGTTTCAAACAAGTCATTTTCCGTTAAAAAATTGACAATAGTCCGAGTTGGATGTTAACCTGCTGATTGAGATATGATAAAATATGATATTAGAATCTCCAACGACCATACAACTCAAATGGTTCTGGAATTAGATTTTATAATGTATTAGTTAACAGGTTAACGTCCAGCTTATACGATCGTTAATTTTTAATGAAAAAAGACGAGTTTGGAAAACATGAAGAGTCGTGTGACCATTTTGTAACTTTTAATTAGTCGAGGAACTCAACAGAACAATGCCCTATAGTCAGAGTATCATTTTGTTGCTTTTAATAGTCAGAGAACTCAACAAAATAACGTCTAATAGTCAGGGGACTATTTATGTACTTTACCCTAATTTTTTAAGGCCTTTCACATGTAATATTTCTCAAACAATTTGGATTATTTCATCGTATATATCTAAGGGTAAAATTTAAGGGCCAAGCCGATTCGGTATCTAATACAAAAGCTATGGGTTATTGTCTTTGGTCCAAACCAGTGCAAGTCCATCTTAACCAATCAAATAACTAAAGGATGAGAATAAATCTTGTAGGCAAGATGAGCCCATAGTCTTCATCGTATTTATTTTATTTTTATTTTTTTATTTTTTTATTTTTTTATTTTTTTTATTTTATATCCATGAAGGTAAACCAAAGATAAGGATTTAAAGCCCCACCTTTCGTTCTACTTCTTCTGAGGAACAGCCCCCTATCACCAAAGCAACACCTTGCGTTTTCAGTTCATTCTCAAACCTTTTTTTTTCCCAGAAAACTTTTTCTCTGAAAAAGGTATAATTTTTACTTGATTACAAGCTAATGGGTCATTGTTTTTCAAGTAACGTTTTCATTTCCTCCCACTTATGAATTCTGGGTTGTTATTAATCTTCCATTTTATTTTCAATTCTCTTTAGTTAGAGTCATGCCATGTTTGAAATTTTATGGTATTCTGGTAATGAAATATGCTCTGTTTGTTTTATTTAATTGGGAAGGAAATGTTGGGTTTTTGTCTGTGAGTGGAAATTTCTAACTTTAACTGTGGCATTAAGCTAGAATTTGGTTAGTTTTCATCCAAGTATCTTATTGGTTGTTTATATAAGAATTGCTTATTGATAACTGATAAGTGCTTACCTTTTGCTCGGTCCGAGAATGTTGTTCGAATGCACAATGTTTATCCAAGTATCTTATTGGTTGTTTATATAAGAATTATTTCTTTTCTTTTCTTTGATTTTTTTTTTGTAGCTGATTTTATTAGCTTAATTTGAATATAAAGATTTTTCCCAGCAATTAGAACAGTTAGATGATTGATGGCGAGTTATCCCGATGTTTCGGCTTTGAATTTGTTGTTTTGGCCAAGTAGGCAGAGAACTATTTGTTTGAGAATTAAGCTATTTGAAATTTTGAATCCTCTGTGATTTGTGAAATATATGAAATAAACACGGATTATCAGCTAAATCCACATGTTTTCGAGTTCGGAACTTAATGTATTTTCTGAAAGCAGCTAATGTATGCGAACAACCAAGTTCGACTGGCATATCGGGATCTTAGTTGAACGTGAAACTTAGATTTGCACGACAAATTTAATCATCGGAAAAAAGTGTTATTGATTCTTTTGATGCTATCCACATTGGTTTGAGCATGATCGGTGCTTGGACATATCATGCCTTATCACAAATTTGAGCCCATCATTCATGTTCTTGCAGGTGAAGATACAAATGAAACCCTTATTTTAGAGTAGGGTGTACTTTAAACTTTTTCATTCAAGTCAGCATGACTCCCGTGATCCCATTTTCCGTTAGCAACATCACATTCGTTCCTGGAGCTGCATGTACAGTACGGAAGAACACTAGTTTAACAAGATGCAGTTCATCAAGGAAAAACACACGACATGCTTTAGCCTCACAAAGATTCATCCTACCTCTATCAATCTCTGTTAGTCCATTTCAAAACTACGGGATGGGGCATGCCTTGCATGGAAAACGGGGAATTCGTTTATCAGCCACTGGGACTGACGTAGCAGTGGAGGAATCGGGTTCTTCTGTGACGAAAGTTTCCGATGAAGGATCAGAAACACAAGCGGATGCAGTTGAAACAAGCGAACAATCAACTAGCCAACCCGATTCTTCACCTGCTCCAGCTCAATCGAAACGAACAAGACCTGTGAGAAAAAGTGAGATGCCACCTGTAAAGAATGAGGAGCTTATTCCTGGTGCAATGTTTACTGGGAAAGTAAGATCGATCCAACCCTTTGGTGCTTTTGTTGACATTGGAGCTTTCACGGAAGGACTGGTGCATGTTTCCCAGTTGAGCGATAGCTTTGTTAAGGATGTTGCAAGTGTTGTTTCTGTTGGGCAAGAGGTGAAGGTGAGGTTAGTTGAAGTAAACAATGAGAGCGGGAGGATCTCTCTTTCCATGCGTGAAAACAATGATGCTGGTAAGCGCCAGCCACGGAAAGATGGTCCTGCCACTACTGATAGGGAAAGGTCTCCAAGGAAGAATACTTCCAGGTCCAGCCAAAAAAGGGATGTGAAAAGCTCAAAATTCATCAAGGGACAAGAGTTGGATGGCACAGTGAAGAATTTAGCTAGGTCTGGCGCATTCATATCTCTTCCTGAGGGAGAAGAAGGATTCTTGCCCCACGAAGAAGAATCTGATGACGGACTTATGAGCATGATGGGGAACTCATCGCTGCAAATTGGACAAGAAGTCAAAGTTCGTGTTTTGCGCATCACAAGAGGATCAGTAACCTTGACGATGAAAAAAGAAGAGGATTATGACAAGTTGGACTCACAGGTTAGCCAAGGTGTGGTGTATACTGCAACAAATCCCTTTATGCTGGCTTTTCGTCAGAACAAGGAGATTGCTGCATTTTTGGATCAGAGAGAAAAGTCAGAGAAATTAGAGGTTCAACCAGCAGTGGTTGATGAGGAGACAACCACTGCCTCTACTGCAGCAGATGAAATGGTTGAAAAGGAAACAGATACAGTAGTTGATATTGAAAACAAGGACGAGGAAACCACGGAGAAGGAAAAAGATGACGGCATTGAAGCTTTGTCTCCGGCAAGCAGTGCGGAAGTTCCATTAGTGGATGTGGTCGAAACCGATGAAACAGCTGGATCATCTGGTGAAGTCGTTGATCAAGTGAAATCTGAAAATTCAGTTGATGCAGATTCTGCAGCAAAAGATGTAGTACAAGCGGAAGTACCCTTAGCTGAGGATCAAACTCCGGCTGCTGCATCTGTTCAAGATGAAGAAGTTGAAGCTATTCCGGATGAAAAAGGCAGTGTTGCCAGCACAGACGTACAACCAGATCTTGCTGATACCAAAGATGCCGAAGGTACGATAATCATGACACTGATAGCAAACCTATTTTTGAGGATTTCATACCAATGACTTGTGTTGTGTTTTTGTGAAGAAAAAATAGTCAAGAGAAAAAGGGGATATGATCTATTACTATTTCCTATTGCTAATTTTGTGCAGATACAGTGGAAAACAATGCAAGTCCTGATCCGTCTCAAGAATCGCCTGATGATCAGATTAAGTCTTCGGGAAGTGAAGCAGTTGAAGAAAAAGAAAATCAATCTGAGGATACCAAGGAAGAAGTGCAGATAGAGACACCATTTTCTCCTGATCCCTCTCAAGAATCGACTGATAATCAGATTAAGTCTTCTGGAAGTGAAGCAGTTGAAGAAGAGAATCCATCTGAGGATACCAAGGAGGAAGATCAGATAGAGACACCAGTTTCTGAGGGCGAAACTACTCCTTCTTCGGAAGTTGAAGCTGCAGACCCTGCACCTCAAAAGAACAATGAGGTTACCGATTCAAACGGCTCTACGCCGAAAGATAATGAGACTAAAGGTTTGTACTTCATTCATTTTGGCAGTTTTTATACATATTAAATGTGTCTTACAAACTTTTGAATTGAACTCTAATACGAAATGGGAACTTTTGAAACATTGATTTGTATGCATGAACAGCAGCAACTATATCACCAGCTTTAGTAAAGCAGCTCCGGGAAGAAACAGGAGCAGGAATGATGGATTGCAAGAAAGCACTCTCGGAGACCGGAGGGGATATCGTTAAAGCTCAGGAATTTCTCCGCAAGAAAGGCTTGGCAAGTGCAGATAAAAAAGCCAGTCGAGCTACAGCTGAAGGAAGAATAGGTTCTTACATTCACGATAGCAGGATCGGTGTCCTAGTCGAGGTTAACTGCGAGACGGATTTTGTCTCACGGGGTGACATTTTTAAGGAGCTTGTCGATGATCTTGCCATGCAGGTCGCTGCTTTCCCTCAGGTACAATATCTCGTTCCAGAAGACGTCCCTGAGGAGATTGTAAGCAAGGAAAAAGAAATAGAGATGCAAAAGGAAGATCTCTTATCGAAACCAGAGCAAATTAGATCGAAGATTGTTGACGGACGGATACGGAAGGGGCTTGAAGAGTTGTCTTTACTTGAGCAGCCCTATATTAAGAATGATAAGATGGTGGTGAAAGATTGGGTAAAGCAGACTATTGCAACCATTGGAGAAAATATAAAAGTGAAAAGGTTTGTGAGGTTCAATCTTGGAGAGGGACTAGAGAAGAAAAGTCAGGATTTTGCTGCGGAAGTGGCCGCCCAAACTGCCGCGAAACCCGTCTCTACTGCTGGAAAAGAGCATTCGACTCCTGTGGAAGTCAAGGAAACCGATGAGAAGTAAGTGGTGGTTTTCCGTGGGTTCTCATTTGTTACTAATACAATGTCATTTCTTTCACGGTTTATATACACCCATTTCTCTTTTGCAGACCAAAAGTGGCAGTCTCCGCCGCACTTGTCAAACGACTACGTGAAGAAACAGGAGCCAGGATGATGGACTGCAAGAAAGCACTGGCTGAAACTGGAGGTGATATCGAGAAGGCTCAGGAATACCTTAGAAAGAAAGGCCTTTCAACTGCTGACAAGAAATCCAGCCGGCTTGCTGCTGAAGGCCGAATTGGTGCCTACATTCACGACTCGAGGATCGGTGTCCTAATCGAAGTCAACTGCGAGACTGACTTTGTTGGTAGAAGTGAAAAGTTCAAAGAGTTGGTCGATGACCTAGCAATGCAAGTTGTGGCTTGTCCACAGGTGCAGTTTGTATCCATCGAAGACATTCCGGAGAGCATCGTGAATAAAGAAAAAGAGCTCGAGATGCAAAGAGATGACCTCGCGTCAAAACCAGAGAACATCAGAGAGAAAATCGTTGGAGGGAGGGTCTCAAAGAGGCTCGGAGAGCTTGCCCTATTGGAACAGCCCTTCGTCAAGGATGACAGTCTGTTGGTTAAAGACTTGGTAAAGCAAACTGTCGCAGCTCTCGGAGAGAACATAAAACTTCGAAGGTTTGTTCGGTTTACGCTTGGCGAGACAACTGGAGATACTAAAACGGAAACTGAAGCTTGAGAGCGGGAATCGTCAGAACTTCCATTGTCAAAAGTGTGAAGCGTTTTGAGTAATGGAGGTAGGAACTAATTTTGGACGAGAGGATAATCTGGTTTTTTTTTTTTGATGTGTTTAAGCAAAGTTTTCATTGTAGTGACCTTCATTTATATGCTTTTAAATGGCCATTAAAGGTTAGTCTTTGATTTTGTAATATGAAAATTGTTTCTTCTCCAATTTATTTTTGCAAAATGAGAACACTGAGAATAAAATCGAACCAAATTGTCATCTGTTCGGTCAAAAAGCCGACTTAACCGGTAAATTCCATGTATAACCTTTTTAGATATATATATATATTTATATATATAAGATTTACTCAAAATTAAACCAAATTAGAATTACCACTAACTTGTTACATAAACTGAATCAAATTAATTTGGGGTAAGGACCAGATACTCAATAAACTATAAGGTCACTTTTGTTTTATCATCAAGCATAAAAATATCAATTAAAACTTTTAAAAAATTTATCAATTCAATCCTTATTCAAAATAGTTTAATAAATTTAACCCTCAATATTTACAAATCATTTCAATTTAGTCCTTATTTTAATTCTAAATAATTTAATAAATTTAATCTCTCAATAAAATGATGTGTTATGTTGTCCTTAATTTAAGGACTTTCAGACTAGGAAGCTGAAATATAGAGATTTGACCAAGTGTGTTAGATCAACATAGTAGCAAGTAAAACAATTAATTACTCTACAAGTATGGTCTTTAGCTGGACTTCGATGATTGATCGTCTTTTCCGGACTGTGTTTGGGGACGAATCGCCATAGATCCACGGCGATATCCACCGCCTTTTTCTTGTGGAATTTGTATGGTTTAGAGACGTCAAAACGGAGCTGGAGACAAAACGGATTCATCACAACAGTTGAACCTTCACTGCTACAAATAGAAAATCCATGTCAATGCCCTTCTTTCGAGTTCCGAATGGAGGATTCATCACAACAGTATCAACAATTTGACCAAAAAACGGAGTTAAAGCATGAGACGAAGACAGAAATCACAACTTAAGACTGAAGAAATGCTTGGCAGAACATCCGTTTTAACATACATATTATTTTAAACTTAAAACTTTCCTACTATGTTTCTCTTGATTGATTCAGTACACGTGGCATAGTTTCCAGAAAGTAACAAACACATTCAATTTATAGTGCATCTTTGACATAAATATATGTTGAAGTAGGAGAAGAAACAAGTTGAATTATTGTTGGAGCAAATCAGCCATGTGCACCCAAATTAGTCCAATGTGCAAGACAAACACCATTGCCTGCAAACTAACCATTGATTCCGTAGCTTAAAGAGGATAGCTTGTCCATATCAATATCAGAATGAACCGTAATTTTTCGGGGAAAATCAAATATCAAGATTATGTTACAGTTCCAAAGACAGAGAGATAGAAAGGGAAAGGGAAGGGAAGGAAACTGTTACCTCTCCATCCTAGGTTACTGATGTCGCACTGAATAAAATCCATGTCTAACTGCAGTTCAATTACGAAAGCAAACACAAGGAAGACATCACGAAACATGCGAATTACTAAGCAAATAACACAAAATTAACTAGCAAATATTAACAACTAAACTCATAGATAAAAAGGTAAAAGAAAAACAGATGTTAAAATAATTGACTTGGACCAATAAAATCTCTAGAATTAACACTATTACATCAAAATCAACAAAAAGGAAAAGCACCTCAAGATCTTCTGCATTCGTAGAAGCTATTTCAAGAGATTGAGAATCGATATCAATGCCAATAACCTGCCTATTCCAAAGAAAACAAAAACGCCAATACCAATGTCAAAAGCCCGCATTCAGTTCAAGGAATCAACAAATAGAAAATGGGGTTTACTTACTTAGCACCCAAGAGAGCAGCAGCAGCAGCAGCAGCCAGAGTGCCACATCCACAACCAAAATCCGCCACCACCTTATTGCTAATATCATCAAATGAATTCTCAGCCTTAAAAAAAACCCCAAAAACAAATAAACAAAAAGAGAATCTTAATACCCAACTAGCCAATAGCACGAGAAAATGAAGCCCCAAAAAGAGAAAAAAAAATGTTCTTTCGGTGTAAAGCAAGCGAGAAGCGATGTGAGGGCCAGTAGGATACTGTTCGAGCTCCACCTGCATTGAATAAATCATATAATCCACCACAAACTGATTCAATAGCTACTTCCATATGAACAAATTCTGAGTTTTCTTTAATGGGAAAGAGAAGACCTCTGGGTTTGAGAATTGTTGAAGATCACCCAAGAGGCTTTCTAGTTGTTTAGGCTTCATTTTTCTCTTTAATGGAATCCTCCTCCTCTAACAAATAAAAGTATATGCAAGAAGAATAGCAGATCCTGCTTGTTCCTGCTGATGCTGCTGCCTTGTTTCTTTAGTAAGCCAAGCACACCCCCTATGTTAAGGATATACTGGAATTCCAGGCTTTTGGTACAAATGCTAGGTTTCTAGAGGCTTTTGCTCTCTTTCTTTTTGGTGATGGAAGGGGAATTTAGCATCTTTGGATAACAGATTTTCTCAATTACGTGAATAAAATTATAACAAACTAAAGATCACAACTATTTTCAATCAAATTTTAATTTAATTTATAATTATATATTTTTTATAATATAAAAAGTAAATAATTTAAATGATAAGTTAGTCGACCATGTACTTCCATCAACTTAACGTTCAATTGGTGTAATATGTATAATTTGATGACGGCATAGTGGATCAAACATAAATATGATATTCTATACGCTTCATCTCTCTTACTTTTACATCATATTGTTCATCTAATATTTGGTTTAGGGTTTAGGGTTAGATTTTTATTTGGGTTTTACAGTCCAATGTCAAATTTGGAGTTCTTTTAATTCAAAGTAGCGTCGGGCTTTGATCCAGCTGCTCATGTCCCACATTTTTTTGGGCCATTTGTTTTTCTAATAATAATTTTCAAAACTCATTTTAAAAGAAAAATAATTCATTCAACGTATATTTTTCAAATTAAAGGAAAATAATATTAAATTATTTAATTTTCATTTCAAGTCAAAGTGGTTATGAAAATAATAATAGTGTAGAAATAATCTTCTGGTTACTTAAGTGTTTCTTATTTATTGGTACTAATTAATCAGTTAAATTAGCTCGATTAGTTGACTGATTTACTAATTAATATAATAGAGATCAGATCAATTTTGATTAAAGTTTTTTTTATTCACTCCATTGTAATTAATTTTTTTATTTAAATAATAAAAAAGGTTTTTATCGAAATTTAATTAATTTTTCAACGTATCAAGTGTGCCTCAGTAGTTAAAAAAGAGTATTGTTTTTCTTAAAAATTTTGGGTTCGAACTGTTGCATATGCATGATATATATACGTTATAAATAACTAAAAAATACTGAATAAAAATTACCTTATAATCACCTCAAATTATTTAAAAATAATATCTTTTTAAAAAAATGTTATAAAATTTCATACAACTAATTAAATTTTCAATAATTAATACTATCCGACTTTATCTGAATGCGCAGGACTCATGATGGTTCGGGCCACAGGTTGAACATGTCATTCTTGAGTTAGGGTGACATCATCTCGTAAACAATTATTTTTGACTATTTTCCTTTTATAAAAATATCGAAATAAAAAAATTATAATTAATAATTACCAGTGGGTCCTCTTTTGATTTTGGCGAATATAAAAAATAATAATAATAACAATACGAAATAATAGGAAGCGAAAACAAGGGCCTACCGCACTAGGCAGGCAGTACTGTCCAAAAACTTTAAGTCATTTTCTTAACATGAAAAGCCCAAAATAAAATAATAAGAATAAGAAAAAAGTATTTGTATTTTTTATATTTGCAGACCCTAATTTTGTGACCCACAAACCGCCTCTCTGACTTCTTTAATATTAAAATATTTTTTTAATTTTTTCTATGAAAAAAATACAAAGCAATTTGGCTTAAATATACAAAAGGTGTCAAATTTATGTCTATTTTTCAATTTAGTACCTAATGTTTATTTTATTTCAATTTGGTGCAAAAAATTTCATTATGTTACTCAAAATGGTTAGTTTCCTCTATTAAGCGACATGTGTCACAATCTTGTATTTTTTAAATTATTTTTTAAATATTAAAAATATTATTGTATTTATAAAAAAACTTATTTCTTTTAAATTACAAAAAGCCTCAAAATCCCTAAAATCTTCAAATCCTAACACTAAGTCGTCGCCGACGTAGTCATTGTCATCATCCTAGTTATAAGCCGTTGTAGTTGTTGTCAATTGGCCCTCGAAATCGCTTGGAATTGCGATTTTAATCCTAGAGTTCGCGGGTATAAAACGTCGATTCGACGGCAAAAGGGCGACGATAGGCATGTGTTTAGGGGTTGAAATGAAGGTTTTCAAAGATTTGGGTTTATTTTGAAATTTATCTGTGTTTTTTTAAATATAATTTTATTTTTTAAATTTATATAAAAAAAATTAAAATTATCAGATTGTGACTCGTATCACTTAACGGATAAAACTAACGGTTCGTCAGGGCTTTACCCATTTTGAGTAACAGAATGAAATGTTAGACACAAAACTGTAACAAAATAAATATTAGGCACTAAACTAAAAAAACGGACATAGATTGGGCGCATTTTATATATTTAACACAAGCAATTTCTATAAAAGTCTGATAATAAAATAAAATAATTGACGTTAACTTAATAAATTCGATATATTTTCATAAACTTATTCAATTAGAAAACTATATAAGGTGAAAAAAAATTAAGAATTAAAATAATATTAAAAAGTTCGATGATAAAAAATGCCATTAGATCTGATTTAAATTTTATTATATATAAACCATATCCTAAATTTATTATTATCTATGAATAAATATATTATAACTATTATTCTCTCATATTTTATAATAATTATGATCAGATGTGCATAACATTTTAAAACATTCATAGTAATTAACGTATGTAATTCTTTAGTACATGAATCGATGGCATTGGAAGGATTGTGTTAATGAATGGAGGAATTTTACGCAACAACTAAGAAGTGCAAAACTCCTCCATGTCAAATTACTGTATTCATCGAAACATTGGATCATGTTGACTCCCGAGTCTTGAACTTGGATTGTTGAGTTCCTCCCAATAACTTCAAAAAACGTCAACGTTCAGTTTGACAAATTGTGGTGTGATGTTATCAAATCAACAACTACGGCTAATATTTTATTTAAAATGCGTAACCAAAATTCCACTCATCTGATTGTGATGTATTCCCATGATTGAATTCATTTCCAACATGCTTTGCTTATAAGTGATCCAAAAACAAAAGACGGAAATTCTTCCACACGTTTAGATATGTTTTGATTCGGCAAAACTTTCGAGATAATGTTCCGGAAGAAATTAATTCACGAGATAATGCACTCTCAATATTAATTGCTCAAATAGGGTGAAATCTACATTGTTGGTCGTAGGTCGCCATGCCTTCCGGGAGAGTTACGAGATATTGCATGTGCCATGCACGTCCCAACACGTTGGGCATCCGAGGCCATCCGACCGAGCTATGCGAGAGCATCCGAGGCCATCCGAGCGAGCTATGCGAGGGCAGCCGAGCGAGCTATGCGAGGGCATCCGAGCGAGTGAGCAAGGGTAGGTCACCCGGAGTGCATGGCAACCTACAAGGTCGCCTGGAGAGCATGGCGACCTACAAGGTCGCCCGGAGGACATGGCGACCTATGTGTTGGGACGTGCATGTGTCATGCAACACGTTCATTCTCTCTGTGAGTTCGCCGGGAAGCTGGCCACGTAGTAGGTCGTCCGGAAGACATGAGGACCTACGGCCAACATTTCACCCTATTTGAGCAATTAATCTGGGAAGTACATTATCTCGTGAATTAATTTATTCCATAATATTATCTCGAAAGTTTTTTCGTTTAGATTCTATAAGGATATCTATTTATATAATTAACAGTCTATAACTTTCGTTTCATTAGTAACGATAAATTAACAGTCTATTATATATATAATGATGTATATATTATCATGGAGGCTGGAGAAAAGCTAATGTAGAAAGAAACAACCACTCGGTAATTATTATATTATATTTATAAAAAGCATAGAAATAATATATATTTCTTGTTTGGGGGTATAGAAAACATTATTGCTTAATGGGTGGTGAGGGAGAAAACAAAGCAAAGTGGGAATTTTTATCTCTAATTCATATATAAATAGACAAAATGAAAAGGAATAAAATAAAATAAAGTAGGTTGGTGTGAGAGTGTACATCGGGATCAGTATTTTAATAATTTAGTTAAAAAATATTAAAATAATTATTTTGAATAATTATTTCATACCAATAATGATTGATTGAATTATTTATGCACCACTGAGATATGCTTCAGAGTTCTTTATTATCGCCTTTTTTTTTTTTTGGCCTTTATGAACTTCAATACTTGATTAACACATAGATGCCTCAAGAAGAATATGCTAAATCGACATTAAAATTAATTTTAGTCTCTTTATTTTTTATAATTTAATTAATTATTTTTAGAATAATATTTTTAACTAAACAATTCATTCTTTTATAATTAAATTTTAACTCTCTCCTGATATAAATATTATTTTATTTATGTAAAATCTTAAATTTCATAAATACATAAATTAAATGATTTTATATACAAATATTGGAATTTTTTTGAAAGGAAATCATATAAACAGTATTTAATTTTATTAATGTGGTGTGGGATTAATTTATTAACTTGAATTTTTTCGACACGTGTCGTTGCCTTGGGAATTTCTTTTTGATGCATTAAAATTAAAGTATTTTAAGAAAAAACCCTAAAGGTTGTAGCGATCAATAGCCGTCCATGTCTTGTTGGTTGACACGCTTCTAAATTATTAGTGTTGATAACATCAAATACGGTGCCGTTTGATAATTAATTATTAGAAATTTCAGGTTACTCGAATTGTTTAAAGAGAAAATCGCCTCAGTGACCAAAAATGCCTTATAATATACGATTTTAACTAACTTTTTTTGGATTTGCCAAAATAACCAACAAAATCGCAACGCGAAATAAAAATCGCAACGCGATCCCCAGAATCGCAAATCAGTTTCCAAAATCGCAACGCGATTCTTGAAAATCGCAATGCGATAGTACAAATTCGCATTGCGATTTTACAGAATCGCAACGCGAATATAAAAATCGCAACGCGAACACATAAATCGCAACGCGTATCCGTAAATCGCAACGTGTATCCGTAAATCGCAACGCGTATCCGTAAATCGCAATGCGTATCCGTATATCGCAACGCGTATCCGTAAATCGCAACGACAATACGTAAAATCGCAACGCGTATCCGTAAATCGCAACGCGATTTTTAAAGCGCTATTATAATCGCTACGCGTATTTTATTTTCAAATTACAAAAACGAATATTAAGACAAAATCCCGTAATCGCAACTCATAACCTAAAACCTAAAATCACAACTCAGTCCCATCTCCATCTCTCACT